TTTGAAGGGCAAGTTAAAAAAAAAGAAGCTAAGTAGTGTGCAGGCATGCTATTCAGAGCAGGTTAGGAATATGTCTTTCCCATAGCACAACCTGGCAAAAAGCGCCAGGTACTTCTTAAGAACTCTAGGATAGCCATTCACATGATCTTTCCAGTACAGTTTTGAGATGTCTTAAATCTAAAAACTGCTCATTTAAAGTGACAGTTTATTTTATTTTATCTGTATATTTTGTGTGATGGCCCTTTATCCAAGATGCTCAGGGGGGAAAAAATGTTTGGGGGTTCTTGCCCCCACTTAAAGTGCAACCCAGGTATCTACAATCCAAATTGACAGCTGGGATGAAAATCTCTGCTAACACTATAAAACCATTTCTTAGTTCTTCTGTGTTTTGCCTTGCTGATGAATGGAAGAATCCTGTGATGATGGTTTACTTTCCTACCATTGGTGGATTCTTCCAGCTTTGCTGCCTTCCCCTTTTTCCTGACATCATCAGCCAATGGGAAGAATCCACACATCAGAATATGTTATGGAGGGTGAGGTGGGAATTGATCTGTCATATAAAGGCAAAGGTTAATGTTTACAGGATTTATAATTGCATAAATGCTCAGAACTCACCAAGCCAAGAATGACACACACACACAAAAAACCACAACACCCAGCTAGTCATGGTTGACGAACACTTCCCCCAAACTTTTCCAGAGCTCGTGTGCAGTTTCTTACTTGATGGAATCACAAGTTTTGAACTTCCCACCCATCCCCTACCGTCACCAAGCTATACAGTTCAGATAAGATGCTGAATTCTGTATGGCCAAGAAAGAGGGCAGAGACTAACACTGTTAGAGACCTGTGGAGGTGACTGGTTTTGAGGTAGTCAGACTCTTCTATATGCACTCAGCCTGCTTCGCTGTGAGCAAAGTAGAATGGAATGGAATGGAATAGAACAGAACAGAACAGAACAGAATAGAATAGCGGAATTGGAGTGCAACCCCCTGCTTAGGCAGGAAGCCCTATACCACTTCAGACAAATGGTTATCCAACATCTTCTTAAAAACTTCCA